GCGGGAGGAAGCCAACGTATTTCGGTGCCGACAAGTCGGAAGGCCTTGATGACCTCTTCGACGGTCTCTCCAGTATCGTCACAATGCACAATGGATGGTGTGAATATTAGCGTATCATTCTCACAAACAATATCGCCACAGATTTCATACGACGTGCACGATCGGGTGCCTTCTCCACAGCTAAGGCCGACGACGTCCACTGCTCTCAGATCCATGGTGTGTTTCGTTTCTTGATGAACACGATTGGTTCTGACCAAGCCTCCTGTGCTCTATATTTGTCCAATGGCACTGTTGGTAGATGCAGCTTTATGACGAAACCGCAGAGTGCTCAAGTATACTTAATTTTGACCCCCAGGGTGCAGGAATATGACGAAAAATCGTGGGTGCAGGAATGCAGCAAATACGGTAGTAGTGTGCAATTGTTTCGAATAGATGAATTTTTTATTTGTGCAGTGCGTTTCTCGAATGTGATTGGTCGAATTATTAGTTGTTTTGGCGGAAAATAAATTATCGCTTGTGGGGGGCGTGGCTACCACTTTGGTATTGTATTTAAGGTCACCAGATGGAACCTCCCGCCAAAAAGTCGCGCGTCCTGCGGACCCATGCGAGTACATGGCCACGAACCACGCTTCCCTCTCTGAATGCCGCGGAGCACGACATTCGTTTCCAGTGGATTGACATTAGTATGTACGACGGAGAGCCGCTGGCTGTGAATCCATACTCGCGCACCCAACCAATTCCCGGCCCTCGCACCGGCAGTTCGTCCATCATTCGATTGACGGGTGTGACCGAAGATGGACACAGTATCATGGCGCACATTCATGGTTTTGTCCCGTACTTTTACGCGTCGTGTCCTGACGGTTTGAAGCCGTCGGACTGCAATATTGTCCGTGAGGCATTGGACGCTGCCGCCAAAAAGAATCCATCTGATGCGCCTGCTGTGCAGTTGGTCGAAATTGTCGAAGACAAGATGTCGCTGTATGGGTACCAATTTGACAAGAAAGTGCGGTTGATCAAGGTACTCACACAACAATCCGTCCGCTGCATGACTACGATGTTTTAGATATACCTGAGCCTGCCGAACTTTGTGCCAAAGCTTCGCACTGCGCTTGAAAGCGGAATTACGATTCCTGGGTACGGCACTCGCAGCTACCAAACGTACGAGAGCAACGTGCCGTACATTTTGCGGTTCATGATCGACCAAGAGATTCAAGGTTGCAACTGGGTCGAGCTTCCAGCGGCTACGTATCGGTTTCGCACCCCCGAGAAACAATTGTCGTTGTGTCAAATGGAAGTCGACATTGTGTACCTCAACTTGGTTAGCCACGCTCCCGTTGGGGCGTGGGGCAAGCTGGCCCCGCTTCGCATTTTGAGTTTTGATATTGAATGCATGGGGCGGACCGGCCAGTTTCCGGATGCGGACAAGGTATTTCCCCATGGAATTGATTGAATGCCCTGACATGGTTTTCACAGGACCCGGTAATCCAGATCGCAAACGTAGTGTGGGAGCAAGGGGCGGAACACCCTGTCACGCGAAACGTGTTCGTCTTGGGCACGTGCAAGCCGATCGTTGGGGCACACGTCATGGAGTTTGAAAGTGAAGGCGACATGCTCGAGGCGTGGGCGTCGTTCGTGCGCCAGGTCGACCCTGACATTTTGACAGGATACAACATTGACAACTTCGACGTGCCGTACCTCATCAACCGCGGCAAGGCGCTCAAATTGACGCCGCAGTACCATTGTTGGGGGCGCCTGAAGAATACGTACAGTGAGCAGCGCAAACGATCAACTTTTAACGATTTTGATGGTTTTAGGCCCAATCACATGGAAAAGAAAGCGTTTCAATCGGCGCAGTACGGCAAAAGCGATAACATGCGAACGACGATGCACGGCCGGACGTCGTTCGATATGTTGCCCATTATCCGTCGTAACCAGCAGCTGAGCTCGTACTCTCTCAATTCCGTGTGTGCGCAGTTCCTTGGACAGCAGAAGGAAGACGTGCCGCATGGCATCATCAGCGACCTCCAACGCGGAACGGATGACGACCGCCATCGTTTGGCCGTGTATTGTCTCAAAGATGCCGTGCTTCCACTCACACTGCTGCAAAAGTTAAGTTACTTGGTGAACTACATCGAAATGGCGCGTGTGACGGGCGTGCCGCTCGACTTTCTCATTGACCGCGGCCAGCAAATCAAAGTGTACTCGATGTTGTTGCGAAAATGCCGTGGCGCTGGCCTGGTCGTTCCGAACTTGCCGCGTGCAGGCGGTGGCGACGATATTGGGTACGAAGGCGCGACGGTGATTGAGCCCGTGAAAGCGTACTATACGGTGCCTATTGCGACTCTGGATTTTGCATCACTGTATCCGAGTATCATGCAAGGATACAATTTGTGCTATTCGACACTCGTGGCCCCCAGCGACATCAACAAACTACCGGTCGATGCGTATCAGACGTCGCCGTCGGGGGACGTCTTTGTCCGAAGTGCAACGAAGAAGGGAATCTTGCCGCTAATTCTAGAAGAATTGTTGTCCGCCCGTAAGCAAGCTAAGCGGGATATGGCGACGGCTCCGGACGCAATGTCGAAGGCGGTGCAGAACGGTCGGCAACTCGCATTGAAAGTGAGCGCCAACTCTGTGTACGGGTTCACGGGGGCCAACGTCGGCCAACTGCCTTGTATTCCGATTGCGTCGTCCGTGACTGCGTACGGTCGCGACCTGCTTCTACGCACGCGGGAGGAGGTCGAAAAAGTGTTTACGATCGAAAACGGCTACAAGAACAACGCAGAAGTAATTTACGGTGACACGGACTCCGTCATGGTGAAGTTTGGCGTCGAAACTGTGGCTGAAGCGATGCCGCTTGCCGAAGAGGCGGCGAAATTGGTCTCCGATATTTTCCCAAAGCCTATCAAGTTGGAATTTGAAAAAGTGTACTATCCGTACCTGCTTATGAACAAAAAGAGGTAAGCCTATGCTGTATGTAGTGTAATTTGAGGCTCATTTGATGGGTGGTGACCTCAGGTACGCCGGGCTGCTCTGGACAAAGGCCGAAAAGTACGACAAGCTCGACACAAAGGGGTTGGAGACGGTCCGTCGCGACAATTGCCTGTTAGTCCGTCGCATGGTTGAAAGTTGTTTGAAAAAGATCTTGATCGAACGCAACGTGGACGCGGCCATTTCGTACACCAAGCACATCATATCAGAGTTGCTGCAGAACAAGATCGACATCTCGCTGTTGGTGATCACGAAGGGACTGAGCAAGTCGACTGACTCCGACGACTACAAGGTCAAGCAAGCCCACACCGAACTTGCCGCCCGCATGAAGAAGCGGGACCCGGGGTCGGCGCCCGTCCTCGGTGAACGTGTTGCGTACGTGATTATTGACAAAGGCAAGAATGTGCCATTGTACGACAAGGCGGAGGACCCAGTGTACGCACTGACCAACAACATTCCCATCGACTGCGACTACTACATGTCGAACCAGCTACAAAACCCAATTGAACGCATCTTTGAGCCGATTATCGGTCTGTCCAAGGTCAAGAGCGACTTGCTCGCTGGTGACCACACACGAAAGCGGTCCAAACCAGGGTTAGTCCAAAACAGCGGCGGAATGATGAACTTTGCTGTCAAAAAGCAAAAGTGTCTCGGGTGCAAGGCGCCGCTGGGCGGCGACCAAGCACTTTGTGCGTCGTGCATCGAACAAGAAGCTCAAGTGTACAGCAAGCAACTCAGCGTTGTCGTGGCCGCCGAACAGCAGTTTGCCAGACTCTGGACGCAGTGCCAGAACTGCCAAGGCAGTTTGCACCAAGATGTGCTTTGTACGTCACGCGACTGTCCGATATTTTACAAGCGCATCAAGGTCCAGAAAGAGCTGGGCGAGGCGCAGCTTGCCCTCGAGAGGTTCAAGTACGAATGGTAGTCGGTAGGCAATCATCCCCCTCCCAATTTATTTGAGCTAAAACAACTGCCGGTGCACGTGACTCAAAATCTCTCCTTGCTTGTCAGCAATATCGGGGTACTTGGCCATCGTTTCCGCCCGAATCAAATCGACAACTCGAGTCCACTCGTCCTCGGACAACGTCTTTTCCTTCCACAGCGAAGGAAACGCCGACGTAAAGAACGCGTCTTCCATGATCCCGATGCACACCATCAGCACGACGTACGCAAAGATGACGATGTAGCTATACAAGTAGACCTACATCGACGTGTTCACCACTTGACCAAGGCAACTGCATACACTCACTTGCCCATGCCATGGCAACGACACAAACGTGTCGCGGATCTCGTCGCCGTTCGCAAGTGCAAATAGTGTCGTGGCGGTGGTGGCCATGCCGGCAAAGCGCGGCACCTACGACATTTGTCAGACGAGATGAAGCCTTCGATGGAAAACCTTACAGTTGCCCCATACATGATGGTACCACACAAGACGTAACCCACAAACAAAGGACACACCCCGATGAGGAACTCGACGACTTGTGGTGCGCCGCGTTTGAGCGTCAAGCCCAAGATATATGTGCGCGGGTTGAAGCTGAGGAACCGCAGTAGGGCCACCCACTGCGCGGCACTCGTCAGCGCATAGATCCAACTCAATGGCTCGACATACACGAGGACGGAAGCCTCGCTCCATGCCTGCAACGTCAGATGATAACTCGTAACAAGTGTTTGAAGCAGGTTCGGTACGTGGACGAAGCACGCGATGGTCGTGATGTTGACCCCGATGACACATGTGCCGGACACATGCACCATCACGAAGTTTCGCCTAGTCAAAGGGAGATGACTTTGAAATGGCATATTTTGGGGCAGGTGTTTACCACGTGGATGCAGCTTTGGCGCTGCTGAGTAATGCCCACACTTCGACAACCTGTGGAGCAACTCAGTCAACTGCACGATGGAATATGGCGGCATACTAAACAGCACCCTGCGAGGGCAATGGCTGCCATGTACCGGCCGACATAATCGGTAGGACTTGGTGTGGGGCGAATTCTTGTTGATGTCGGAAGCTGTCGATTGACGACCATGCGCAGTTGCATCTGACCCTGGGTCGAGAAGTCGTACTTGAACAGCGCCTTCCACCGCATATAGTCACGAAGTTGCAAGGTCATGTCGTTTGGATTGGCAATGGAAGGCTTATGTGACTGCACCGACATGATCAAAGTCATGTGCTTCAACGAGTCGAAGAATGCCCGCGTGTCGGAAACTGAGGCTTTTCTCTGGAGCCCAACCGGCCAGGCCTGCTCGTCGTCCTTGTCCAGAACGTACGTTTGATTGTTCTGGAGCACGAGGGATCAGTTTGTACAAGGCGAAGCATCTTCGAAACCTCGTGGTCGGGGTCACTTGGACTGGCAAACACCACGTTCAGATGAGGCAGGGGAATGCCTGAGGGCGCGCCCACACGGCGTTCTGTCAGTTGGAAACCCTCCTTGCTGTCACGAGATTCTGTGCTATGGCTCACCTGCAAACGGCGCTACGTGCAGCTTTCCCAGCGCAACATTTGGGAGGGCAAAGTAGTTGGCAAGCACCATGTGCACATGCTCAACGGCATGGCGAATCGTGAACAAGTTGACCGGCTGGTCCTGGTCGCCTCCATTCAATAACCGCCACAGCTCGGCGTACAGGTTGCGCGAATACGGCAGCAAATGCGAGTCCACGTCCACCGCATGATACGTCATGCCGCATACAAGGAGCGTGTGGACCACGGCGCGAAAGTACCATGACACTTGCATGGGTTCGCAGTCGATGATGATGGCGATTTTAATTGACTCTGGAAATCGATACGGATTGGTTAAAATGTAAATTTTCATCCAATCATCTTCGTGGACTCTTTCCATGCGATGCACACAGGGTAGAAGGGACGGGCGCCTTAGCCACCACATTTTCACGATCAGCAACGCATTGAATCAAACTGATCACGTGGCTTGAAAGGCCCCCATTCTCACCCGGCCAAAGCGCACGTTGCGCTCATCCGCTTGAGATCTTTCAAGCCCATATCTGCAGTGGCAGTTTCGGAACCCCTGGAAAAGATCGGCCGTTTCACACATTCCCAGTCTCTGATTGGTGTCGAATATTACGTCGAGATTGCCATTGGTTCCACCTGTACCACACAAGATCGCTTGACACGCATCAGTGCTCGACGTGTGCGAACTTCAGTTCCCAAAAAGCACTGGCAGCATGAAGGCAACGTTGTTGGTCAGCGTTTTCGCAGCCGCCATGGCAACATACCAGGCGCCAGCCCCAAGGTACGCCACTACTACGGCAGCCCCCACTACCACCACTCGTACCCCGACGACGACTACCAGAGCTCCTACCACTCCTTGTCCAACGACAACGACGCCAGCTCCGACTACAACTACTCCTGTCCCGACGACTACCACCCCAGCCCCAACGACCACCACCCCTGCTCCA